TAACTCACTATTGCATTACAAACTATAAAGTGTGGCACATATCTCAAGTTGAGCGAAAAAGGATAACATTAAAGACAGTCTAGAGGAAAATGCTTAGTAGTTACAGATGTCACAAGTGAGGACCTACACACACGGTAACTCCTGAATTGTATGAAAGTAATCTCTATCTTAAGCCATGTAACACTGGCAAATTAAATAACTGTACTTCCAAAATGCCAGCAATGCCGCAATTTTCCTGTTACCCTTTTGCTCACAATTCAATTCACCATCACAGGAGTATTAAGAAGTAACACATACATGCTCTCCCTGCTGCTTGCATCCCATGCTTTGACATATGTACATAAAATTTTGATATAATTAGGGCACCATGTTATCTTAAATCAGTTTTTAATCAATTTACTATCACTATTCATGCAGATAAATTTTAGCAATTTCTATTTCTGAAAATGTGAGTAAACTGATAAAAACAGAACACTAATATTTTACAACTGTTTTGCACAGGAAAAAAGCAATACTAACCAAAAATATCCCTACTTTCTTGCCATTACAGGAATAGAACCAATAGGTCTTTTCCATCATCTTCCATGACTGACAAAATCTGAATCATAACAAGCTTCCTACTAGCTTTATCATCAGTTTTATCTTAAGACTCAATCAGCAAATCTAGCCTGACTTGTGTTGGAAATGGGTATTTTTCAAATTCATCATTTTGTAAAACATTTATCAAGAATACTCATGAGCAATCCTTCTAAATGTATATTACTCTACTACAAGTGAACAATTATTTTAACTGAAAAACATGTATTTGCCTTCTAATTAAACTGTTAATAATTGGTAACAGACTTGTTTCTATTCAAACCAACCATTGGGGAAATGTATACTTATAATGATGCATTACACAGTGGAAGGCTTTAAACCAGCTCGCACAAATGTCTCCTTCCTTGCAATGGGAAGATACTTCAACGATCAGTAGAACACACAGATGACAATTTTTCTTCTATAGAAGTATGGTTTAGGTAAATTCATTCATACTGTTATGAATACAACATAGATACAGATTCCTTTTCCAAAGGTTTTTTTTCTCCCAAGTTACATTTTCCAGTAATTTGAGTAACGGATATACTCTGTCAATAAGCCTATTGTGACTAAGTTCGCAAAGGGAGACTGAGATGCAAGGACACAGTAACCTTGAGAACGCTTAGTATAAAATGTGATACTCTTCCAAAGTCAAAACAAACAAACGCAGTTGTGTGATAAATCGTTCACAGTATGTACTGCCACATGCAGTAAACAGAATCACTATTAAGAATGGAACTTTCTTGACACATATTAGAAACTACACAAGAATGAAAATGATGCCACTTATAATTAAGCATAAAATTATTCTCACCCAGTATTTGTAATAACATTCCCAAAATCCTTTAAAGTGATTTTTATATTTTATTGTAATCAGATAACTGCACATTTTACAGCATAGTCACACATTGTATTTTGCTAGTCACAAACACATTGCCTTACATAATGATCCGCATCATTTCTTCTCTAAACTACAAAGCCTATGACTGAATACAAAAAAAGTTTTACAAAAGAAACTGTTTTAAAGACTACAATAACAATAAAACCGTTTCCAGGTAACAGCTAAAATTATAAAGGCATATCACTGTATAGTTTTACTGGAATTTCTAAACAGTAAGGAATGAAATAAGTTTTAGTATCTGCGACGCTTGTTAGGTCCTTCAAAGTTGCCCCCTGGGTTTCCTCTACCAAAGCCACCAGGTCCACCACTCACGGCACCTACACCACTCATTGGCGGCTGAGGAGTTTCAGAGCCCGTTCTACTAACCAGAGGTGAACCCATCTGTGATGGACCTCCTTGAGGGAATCTCTCATTATGCTAATACAAGTCCATTTGGAACATGCCAAATGTGAGTTACAACAAAAACCACAAGTGATGTTGTCATGAAGTTCAGCAGATAGTCCAGCAGAATCAGGATCACACATAGAGGGAAGAAAGGAGCAATTCAATTAGTTATTATGGAAAAAGAGCTGGAAATTAAAGAATGCTAATGTTACGCTCCAACTTTGCGAAGTAAATTAAAAATTAAAAACTTAAGTGTTAAGACCAACTCTGGTGCTGAATGTAACTTCATCCTTTCAAGCACATCTGAAACAACACATATACTCTATGTAACAGAAGAGACAGCAAACAGTAATTTTATATGTGAGCCCTGTTCTGCCTCACATACCAACTACGATGCTTTTCCCTTAAATAAATTAGAGACAGAAACATTGTCAAACTAGGAAAAAAAATCAGCTTTTGTATTTCTAGACACTGAAGGTTTATTCTTTTAATATCAATATTAACCTGAAGACTTATAAACCCACATATGTGTGGATATTTCAGTCCATACTACCTGGAGTCAGCCATTTGTATGGCATTAGGAATCTTTAATTAGACTTTCAAAACTCACTCCAAATAAACTGACACAGCCAGTGGCAAAATGCATAACTGGACTATGCTTAATTTTAAAAAAACTTGATATATATAAAGCTAAATCTGAACTACCAACATAATATGAAAATCCAGTTAGTGTTCTGTGTTTATTTTCCTTAGTTCTGTGCCTAATATTAATAAAGGTGTATGCGCTTACACAGATTTGGCTATAGTAGTTAAGACCTAAAACAGAAAACATGCATCTGAGCACTTATAGTTCAGTATTTATGCAAGTGTTTAAAAATAGAACCCCAAATGATGAAATTTAAAACATGAACTCAACATAACATAAACCATTAAAAGCATAGATACATGATACAATCAGATCTTGAAATAACTCATCATTCACCTGTTGAGGACAGTTATGCCTTCAGAAGAAATTCCTTCTGTACAACTATCTGCATTAACTGCCCAGGTATTCAGAGTTCGACAAGAACGTTCAAGACGTGTGCTTTATTTATATGCCTGAATCAGACAAGAACTCTTCCAAAAGTCTAACTCCAGTAACAGTAGTAGAGTTCAACAGTTCTAAAGTCCGATAATTCATATATACATTATTTTAAAACAACATTGTATCTATATAGATAAAAATATATATGCAACTTAGATCATGGTTGTATATACGTGCATTGTTTAAAATTTGACATTGAATATGAAAAAAAATTACTTCAAGAGCTGCATAAAGATCTACTACTGCTCAAAGTATCTTAAAATCTACTGGTTAAAAATTATTTAAAAATTAACTCATGCCAGATGGTTAGCAATGGGTATAAATTGCAACAAACAGCTTATCACATACTCCTGATAATTTTCACCATTTGACTTTTGGACAAAAAGTCCCCTTTCCAACAAGGACCCCTCTTTCCAGCTAACAAGAAAACTGCAGGAATTAACTACCTACAATAAAGTATCAGGTGGAAAAAGCTATTTTTAAAATGTTATGTTCAAAGATCATCTGTTTCAAAAGACTGCAGTGGAACAAAAAGACAATTGCTCCAACTTTCCCCTAAAAGACTTCAGAAAAACATCAAATTTAAAAAACAGAAACTGTATTTCTGGTCTATAAAGCATATTCTCCATTTCCCCCAGTTGAAACTGAAATTAACTCTTACAGTGTTTTAGCAGACATCCCTCAAAGGATCTTTAAAGAGTCTTTCCAACAATAGGAAGAATACCATAAGGCTATGCCTTTCTGTGGGGGCCTGCCCCCCAAACTAAAAACTCTGAAAGTCCAAAACGAACAACAAAAAAACCCCATCTAATTTGTCCTTCAGTGTTGTACAGAAGAAAATGGAAGTAAAAAAAAAGAATTTAAAACATGCAATTTGAAGTGTCAGTATATTCCCTACATTTCCATACCTGGAATGGCTTTTTGTAGAAAAACAACAGTTTGAGACAGATACCATGAATTACGATACCACGTTCTTTTCCTTACACCTCTTTTTCAGTGTCTATATAATCACAAGAGAGGTGACGAGGAACAAGTGGCATAATTACTGTCATAATCTCATGCTTTCAACAGTGTTAGAAAGGAAATACTGAAAATACTAAAGTCGCTTTAAAAAAATTAAATAGTTTACACAAAGATATCTTCACACTATACAGCTTCCAACATTTAATTGTTCATCAAAAACCCCAACCAGCATGAATTTAGTTTCACCAAAGAAAAAAGAGCAAATGCCTAAATTTACAGATTACTCTGGTATGCTGTTCCTTCTTCATTTCACAGAAGTGATTTCCTTTTCTCAGTGAGTTTTTCCTGACAGGTCATATGTGCAAAGTTTTGCCACAAGTGCTGTATATTCTAATCTCAATTTAAAGTCTGCTTACTTATCAAAGAACTCCCCCCATTCCTAAGGGAAATAGGATTTTCACAGTAATGTCAAATAAAGATTTCCATTCTGTCTTGTAAATTATTTCCACAAACAAGTTTTATCAATTACTTTTAACAGATTCAGAACACGTAACATGTTCTTACTCAGTGTGAAAATATCTTTGGTAACAGAAATGGGCCATGAGACGTGACAGGTATTCAAAGTAATTAAATTTGTGATACGTTACCACTGTTCCATTATCTGGCATCATTGGTGTTCCCATATTTGCAGCTCCTTCTGGTCCCATGGAAGGACCAGGACCCATTGCAGGGCCAGGTAAAGTTCCTCTGTTGTTCATATTCATACCCATCATTGGAGGAGGGCCTTGGTTACCAGCAGGTGCTGGGCTAAACGCATCTATGCAAAACAATCTATACTTAGAGCTGTCCTATCTGAATTTTACAAGAATAAACAAACAATTTACAATATTTAAAAAGCCAAATGTACAAAACTTCCAATACTTCAAATAAAAAAATATATTCTTTGAGACTGTACATTTATCTCAATCATCTGCTTTTAAACAGATTTGCATTAATCCCTATTATTTTGCATTACATAATCTACCTCTTGTATTTGAAAATCCTGAACTTTACAGCAAAATATAGCTGTACACCTGTGCAGGAATTGAAGTGTTCATATAGCATATATATGCAGTATACGCACAACAAATTGGCAAAAAATCTCAAGTGACTTTGCAGTAATTGGCAGCTACAAGGCAACTTGGCTTTTTAGGGATCATAACATATAAATATACATTTGCAAGAACTATTCTACCAGCATTACGTTAACTGTATATAGTGTTACAGTATATTAGTCTAATGTCTAAAAGCAATACCAAATATGGTACTTAACTTTACAATAAATTATTTGTAATATGGCATAAATAAATCTTGCATTGAGATGTAATTTATTGAAGGAAAAGTACCAGAAAACACAGAAGTTTTGTTAGAATTGAAAGTGACAGAATAGTCTCCTCCAAAATTCTGATTCACACTAAGAGGTAGAAGACAAGCTTAAAAACATCTTTTCGGGAGATCATTTAGCTATAATATTGTGCTAGAAAACTCTGCTCTGCCAGTACCCACTAACATACTCAACGGGTAGGTAAAATTGCCTTCATAACATTTTCTCATGTTGTTACAAGAAAGAAAAAAGTCTGATTATATATATAATTTACATGTGCTATTTTGAAATCTCATCAAGACCAGTGGTGATCCATTTCCCACCCACCGCCCAACAATAATGCACCCTTTTCAGCCAAAAGCATGCATCCAATATTTGATAATGGAAAATATGCCTTTGGAATCTAGCTTATGTTTTAAGTTATGAGAACATACAAGAGCATCAAGAAAAGTGACTTGTTGCTAGACTAATAAACCTGTTATTTCAAAAATCAATCTCACCTCTCATCACAACTGTAACTTCTTTAGTAATGAATATTTAAATGTACATCATTGTAAGCAGGTCATTTAGCACAGATACAATACTATGACTATCTGCAGGTATGTAAAATTGCATCTTTATTACCTGCCCCAAGTACACATACCACAGCAGTCAGTGAAACCACTGCATCCAAGATACTGCTACCAAAAATTGCAGACCTGGGCTTGATCATATACATTATGCCAACTGCAAGCTGCTTAGCAAAAACAATCCATGCAACACAGCAGCACATGTAAAGTGCTAAACAAGTTTATTAGAAGCAAGAGAGAAAAATCCTGTAATTTTGAAAAGCAGAACTCATTTGAGCTTAGTAATTAGATACTCCAAGACCTCTCCCTAAGACACTAAGCCAAAACAAAGGTATGTACAAGTTGAATGCTTCTTACCTACTCATAAGCATGATCAGTTCACGTAGCAGGTAGAAGATTGTGCTACAATTCAAGAGAATTACAGTTGAATATGCCCTAAAACTGTTTTTTAGTGTCATCCATTCAGTGAACAAATACGGAAGGAAAAGAACTCTAAACTGCCAATATAAGGAGAAACCTTTATTTTTGGAGGTTCTGCAGGACTATCATGATGTCAGCGCTTTAGTGCTGGCAGTAGTGCCGTTAAGTAAAAGCAGTCCATGCTCAGTTATCTGTTACTGGCTTGCTTACCACCCTAATTAAACTTAACCAGCTGGCCTGATACAGGTAGTGTTCACTTATCCTTCAAGTGCAACAAAGTTCCCATCCTCCGTATCACACAAATGCACCCATATTGCTCCCAGAGTGGGTATAGCAACCTATAATATCAAACCTCTGTAATATTAAGCAAGTTTCAGGCAGTCAGCTCTGACAGGAGGACAACTAGGGAGCGTAATGCAAGGAGAAAGTGAAGCCCTACAAAGTTTCAGCAAGAAGCCACTATGGCATTTCAGCTATACCTCAGAGGTCCTCCAGGCTCCAAAGCTGTAAGAGCTAACCACTTGATTACCCATTCTTTTTGGTGGGACACTGGTGTTAGCGGTTAATTCACCAGAACAGGTTCAGCAACAGATGAAAAGTAGTCAGTGTTCATGCCACAATACACAGGCACTAAAAACAGTCTTTTTCTGCTATCTGGAGGGCTGAAAAAGTACACTCTAAGTGTCCAAACTGCACATGCCAAGGTCTAGCACAGCCGGCAACAAGGCATAGACAATAATCGTCATCAAAGCAGAGAGTTCCAAAAAAAGCCTTTTTTTTTTTCCCCCTCCATATTGAAAAGCTGAACTCAGCATTACAGATCCATTTAAGTGCTATGATGATGCATATAGATTCTCTCAGAACTTGTCTGCTGCAGAAAACAATGTAAAAATGAGTGGTCCTGCACAAGTCAGCTGAATGCTAATTAAATCCGTCACAGAGGTACCTTGCTTTCTAATAACACTATCATGCAGATATTTATATTACTGAAGATACTCCAGCTCCCCACTGTCCCACATGATGAAAAGTCACAAATGGCACAGGTAAAGGCCAGTTTATTTTTAAGTTACAATTCCAACAGAAAAGTTGAGAGAGGATGCTAAGATCAATAATTAAAAGTCAACTATATAAAGGTCTACTGCAGGTTTTTCAGGTCGAGGTTTTTTTGTTTGTAGTGGTGGGGTTGTTAATGAGCTGGAGAAAAAAAAACTCCACAGTGAGCTAACCTAAAATCCAGACACTGTGGAAACAAACACTATTTTACCTATTTTGCTATGGATGTATTTCCCTTTTTAAAATAGTAGTTCACTGTTACTGTAACTCCTTTTAGAACTGCACATTTATTTCTAAAAGCAGTTGCATCAAGTTTAAAATCGAGTCACAGCGCAAAACTTACAAAGCAAGCCCATGATGAATATCACTGTTAACTATTAAAACCTGACAAGAAAAGGGCTGTGAAGTGATTGCTATAAATACACATTTAAAATCTGTACATAAGAAGTGTATCTTATGGATCTAGACAACTGGCACAGTACCAATATTTACAAAGTCTCCTAATCATATGAATTTTTCAAGTAGACTGTAATAATATGCAAAAAGTACAACTATAAAATAAAAAATTTGGTCACAATTTATGCTTCAGTTTATTATTTGTAGATACCAAATGTTTCAGCTTATTATTTGTAGATAAGAAACCTTTTCCTTTAGAATTATTTTTAAAGCTCTTCATCTTGATAGAAATAAAAAGCCTATTTCTATTTCGCAGCTATAAATGCTTCTCAATTAATAAATGCAAGGAAATGGTGAATTATGTATTTTAAAATCTGGACCAAGCATTAGTCTATAAATATACATTACTCAAAAAGTCAAGCAACAACGTTTACCAAGTTTTGTATGCACTTTCAAATTTAAAATACACAAAAATAATATTAACTTTTCTTTAAATTATCATCTTATTTTAAATGAACATCAGAAAGGTTCCAAGAGATATATCTTGATAGTTAATACAGTTTAGTAAGATTTTTTTTAAATAAATATTCTGTTTCAGTCTTGTTTAAAAGCAGATATTCTCGCTAAGTAACATTCCAAACTGTTTCAGTCTGCATATACGGAGCAAGCTCTAATTATTAAGAATGTCTATACTTCACAGTAGCAGTTTTTAGCAGTGACAATATTCACAAAAGTGAACTGAGTATATCTGCAAATACAGACTGCAATAAATTAGTAGTACACCAACCACATTACTCATTAATCTTTTGTCAGGTACATCAACAAGAACTTACCAATTTTAAGCTCTATATCATTTCACTGCATGCAATTACAGTCTCAACTTCTCTGAACAGGTAGTTACTCCAAAAGAACGCCAAATACTTTCTGAACAGAAA